AAATTTGTACACGTACAAATATATTGACAAGTGTATTAATGAAGTAAAAAAAAAAATGAGGAAATAACATCATAAATTCGAAATGTACACGAAAAAAAAAAAAACAATCGAAGCAATTAAAACCGTACTTACCGTCGAGTTTCAATCTCTCCCTTAAGATCATCAGATTCGTATATGTATACACAATTATATCTGAAACACGGTTACGGATACGAACAAAAGAAAAGAAGAAAAAGAAGAGAAAAAAAATGACAGCGAAACGATTTTATAACATCTTTTGATTGCCAAGCTTTACTGGTGAGCGAACTGATTGCCAGATATACAAAAACCCGACAACAGATCATCGCCCGCGATAAGTTTGACGATTTCACGCGAAGGTTACCGATTAAATTTATACGTGTTGATGCTCGGAGACAAGTACACTTTTATCTGATCGCTATCGTCACACCAAGAAGTAGATGCGGTTATCACGAAAAGTAGAGATCAAGTATCAGCGTCATTGTTGTATCGTGATTAAGAAGAAAAAAAAAAAAAAAGAAAAAATATTAATACGCGGATAATTGAAAAAAAAAAAAACACTGATCGGTGAATAATCCAAAGATCCGTCCATCGGTCCAGTAATTGTGCAACTTGTATATACGGAAGCAAACTGAGTATGTTGTATCGATTGGCGAGATTTAAATTAATAAATAATAGATAAAAAGTGAGTGAAAATAAATTGTGAAAATAAATTTTTCGTACGGGAACGAAATTATTTGTTAGATTGGAAAAATTCGAAGAGAAAATTGGATATTACTTACTCCACGTTTCTTTCTCCAGAAAATTTATACTTGCGTCCACTTGGATCTTTTATTCATTAAATGAATAGATTCTTCCTTTACCCGTGTCTCTTTTTTCATCCATGTTTTTGGTTTTTCTGTTTTAGGAATTTCTATCGAGAAACAAAAATCGAAGGAACAGTTGAAAATGATTCTGCCTCTGTTGACCGTCGTGTATACCTCGATCGGTTTTGTCGAATGTATCCCGGAATTGGAATTAGTACAGATCGTAAGAAACGATGTGTTTCAATTGACAAGAAAGAATATCCGTTATGAAACATGTTTAATATTATCCGTATCGAAATTCGTTTCAGGTATTCGCTCATAAAACGTACGCTCCAATTTCGGAATTGATAAACGGCAACGAGACGAGTTTACCGCACAATTTAACTTACGAACACTTTAACACAGCTTCGATCACTATGCCCAAAGTAAGTTCAATCCCTTTACGAAGATACGTGATGAATTGTGAATGTATTTAAAAAAAAAATATATATATATATTTATATATAATGTTAATTTAATCAATACATATCACAAATTATAATATATATACATTCTTTCGAATAAATATTGACATTGATAAGATAAAATTTCAGCGAATCAAATTTTTAATTTTAATATTGTGCAATTTGATGTAATCGAATAACATAATGCAAAAAAGAATATATCTAGCTTTAAACGAAACGTCGAAATATTTGATTGATGTAACAATATTTCAACAATATTTTTTCAATTCATCATTGTATGTGTATATATACATATATGGTAATTTACGAACAAGTCAAACTTTCGATTCATTTTTACTCAACAGATCGGTATGCTTAACATGTACAATCTAGGAGTCCATTTACGGACGGTATACGACGAATTTCTCGGTGAGATTTACATGCAAGAAACGACGAAAATGCAAACGGCCGAGTACCCGTTGTCCATGTTAGCCGGCCAATTAGTGAATGCAGGCCTCTGGCCTCCGGCGAAACAGCAAAGATGGAACGCCGATATTAATTGGCAACCGATACCTATAGGTAGTTTTGTGTGTGTGTGTGTGTGTGTGACAGCAGCAACAGACAGCAACACACACACACACACACACACACACACACACACACACACACACACACACACACACACACACACACACAAGAGAGAGAGAGAGAGAGAGAGAGAGAGAGAGAGAGAGAGAGAGAGAGAGAGAGAGAGAGAGAGAGA